TATATATATATATATATGTGCATTCTTTCTATCCGTCTATTTTACTAATACTTGTCAAGCAATAAAAATGGATTTGCAAGGCAACACCATGGACAACAAAATGCAAAACAGGGACAAAAAAAAAAGGCCTCATTGGAAACGTTTTGATACCGTTGAGTAAGAACTGAACAAAGATTAAAAAAATCCACAAAGCAAAAGAAGAAACAATACAGGAGATGGTTAAAGCAGAGAGAACCACTGCATGCGGCTGACGACGAGGGGAAAAGCAAACTCACCATGGAGTTTTAATGGCAAAGCATCCCGCCCCAAAGAGGTACGGTCTCCATGAGGAAGGGGTGGCGGTGAAGAGAGTGGGGACACAGAGATAGACGGAGAAGCCATTACTACGCTTGCACACTTGACCAAACACACTTTTCTCATTAGACACTGGTTGACGTGTGCAGAGCAAACATACGGCAGGAAACAGAACGTCTGAGCTAAGATGGATGTAAGGACCTGCAGGATGGTTGGAGGATTCATCCGTCCAAGCTGCTCTGCAGAGTGGGAGATCATTTCATCATGGTCTGGACATCTGTCGCCTTATTTCTTTATTTCTCCTTTATTAATGAGGTTCATGTGCATAATTGCTGAGGAGGAAGCGCCCTGAGTAAATAGAGCGAGGAAATAAGGTGGACATCAGAGATAAAGAACCAGTCTGAGGAGCTGACCTGATTTGTATAACTGGGGACACCAGTAAAACTAACAGGACTCCTGCATTGTTGAGACAAGGAGCTGTGTGTTTGCAAGCAGCATGCTTTTTTTTACAGTGACTGTGTATTTATGGCAGAGCGTGGCCTTTTGGAAGATGGGCTGCGGGCAAATGTGTATCCACTGTGATTATGTTAACAAGTGTGTGTTAGTGTGCGTCCGGGAGTCATCCAGAGTTTAGCGTCTTTTTCAGGGAACATGGCTGTCCGTCCGTCTGCGAGTGTGTTTCTGATGTTTATAAGACATCAGCAGTGGGAGTGTGTTCCTGTGTTTATTCTGCACGGCCAGAGATAGTGACATAGCTCCATAAACAGTTTACAGTAAATAAGTCTCTGTGCCTGCAGCAATAAAGATCCGATGAGACTGAACTCTGTCCCTGAGAGCCAACCTCCCCGAGTCTTGAAAAGAAAGACTCCCCAGCCAACCAAAGCACTTTATCGCTGCGCTAGCATCCGCCTGGGCCCTCCCAGTGATAGCACGCAGGGGCCAATTAGTCCTGGAGCACAAATATGAAAAGAAATGGTCCTCTGGGAGGCGTCTGCCAAAAAAACGCTTCACTGCTGGAGCGCAAACTGACCAATGAACCCAGCAGTTAGTTCCAGGGAGGCCCCTGGCTAACTTTATCTACCCTACTGCGGAGCCCTCTGACCCCGCCGGGCCCCCGCTCTGGGTCTCCAGCTGAGAAAATGGACACACACCAATAGGAGACATCAACATGCGAGTGGTCATGCGTCAGACAGGCTGTAAGTTTGTTCCAGAATAGCCAGACGGCCCGAAAACACAGAAACTGATCAATTAACTGGGAAGGAAAATGTTGAAGCTAAACACACATCAGGAGCTCAGGTGGGTGGCTTCATTGGACGGGTGTCAGCGGCTGCCTAACCACACCTGCCTGACCGCACCTGCCTAACCGCAC